GGTCGTTGACCGTTTGAGCAAGTATGCTCGCTTTCTTCCTTGCAAGTATCATGCTGCAGCGCCTGAGCTCGCACGACTCTTGCACACCGGTTGGATTACCAACCAAGGTGTTCCGGAAGACATAGTGAGCGACCGAGACACTCGCTTCATGTCAGCCTTTTGGACTTCTCTCATGACGGAGTCCGGCACGACAATGAAGCCGAGCTCGGCTCGGCACCCGCAGACAGATGGTCTGACGGAGCGAGCCGCCCCAACCCGAAGATGGCGAACCTGCAGCCGGGACTTCTAGCACACCAGCGCGGCGACGAAGCCGACCCCCCTCCTCCTCAACCCGTCCCCCAGTTCACCGACGTACCGATAAGGGCGATCGACCTTCATCCCCGATCTCTCTCTCGCCGTCCCCTTGACTAATCACCCTTCGGCAGATCACGGCCCCCGTCACGCTCCCTTCGAACCCTTTTCCCCGTGATGTTTTCCGCCACTTCTACTCGGCCCGTCTCGCCATAGTCGTGCATCCCCACCCTTCTATTCGATGCGCCGTCCCCGATTTTTGTCTCCACGTCCTTCTTTTAAGTGCCGCGTGGCGTGGTCGCAACATCATAGAGGTCTATTGCCTCATCTCGGGGACTATCCCCGCATGCGACGACCGCGATCATTTTCACGCCGCACTAATGAGGACCTTCACCACGTTCTACCCCGACTACCTTGCCTCCCTCCCCACTTCTGGCCATCGTTTCCCCCGTTTCCATCGCATCGTCCGCTACCGAGAGGTTCCGGCGACAGTGGCCGGAATGGAGAACTTTCTTCCCCCCCTCCCCATTAATCCTCCACCTAATCATTCTTCTGAGTATCGTCTCCCCTTTCCCCTTCCCCACCATTAGAGAAGAGCACCTCGAATGCCACGATTGTATGACATCCACACTCTTTCACACGGTACACGACATCGAGAGTACTCCGGGTGGCGATCGATAAGAGAGATCGACACGTGTCTCTAGCAAGCAGGAGCTTGCTAATATTGGAACCCCCTGGGCGTCACATATGTGACGATCTACTTTCTGTTCCGCGCGATTTCCTGCGCTGGGACAACGAGGGGCCTTGAGATGGGAAGGTCGGGCCAATTACAGGAATCGGGATCGGCGGGGAAGTTGCATCGGTGCCCTCGGTTTTTCGTCGTTTTTCAAATCATCTTGCTCTTGTTGGCTGGGTCGGAGCTGGGCGAGCCCCGGGATGGTCGGTTCGATTGATTGGTCGGCCGGATGGTCTGCGCGCCGTGATGCGCGCGATTAATAAATGTTGACGTCGTTTTTTCTTCGTTTCGGTCTTGGGAACTTTGGCGCAGATATTGCGCGGGATTTTGCTCTGTTCTTTTTCGAATTTTGAATTTTCTTTGGCGTTCTTGTTGGGCCGACAGGGCCCTCGGAATTTCGGAACTTCTTGTCGGAATTTTGTTTTAGACGTAGGAATTTAGGAATTTTTGAATTTTTGCTGCGCTTGCGCGCGCCTCTTTTTGCGGCTGCATCGGCACTCTGATTAGCAGGCGCCCTTAATCTTGCATGCGTAGATGTAATTTTGGGCGGGCGCCATTGTAACTGTATCTTTTTCTTGAACTCCATCTTTCCCGCTCTTGCTTTTCCTGTAGTTGTGTTAGACGGCCGCGGCCTGCATGATCGGATCGATGCGTGGAGAGTGGCTACGTCCCCCACGCCGCGGTCCGGCCATGCAGACACTGGCAGTTCCTCTGTAATCCCTTCTTCTAAGTCCTTGTAATTTCGTGTTCTTTGCGCCTGCATGCACGCTATAACTTATAACTTACGGCTGTGCGACTAGTTAGCTCTCTTAACTATTGCCGGAAGCTCGGGGTTGCGCGATCGAGAGGGTCGGCACACGAGCGAAGTAAGAGGTGAGTGAAGTGGGAGTCGGGCGACCCGACGAGCTGGTGCCGAATGCGCGGGGTTGATGCGGGCCACGACGGACTGTGGGCGCGGAGCAAACCTGACGGGCACAGGAGGACTAAGCGGGGTGTCGGCTTCGTGGGTTGATGCGCGACGACGGACTGTCGGCATCGGAGAGAGAGAGAGAGAGAGAGAGAGAGAGAGAGAGAGAGAGAGAGAGAGAGAGAGAGAGAGAGAGAGAGAGAGAGAGAGAGAGAGAGAGAGAGAGAGAGAGAGAGAGAGAGAGAGAGAGAGAGAGAGAGAGAGAGAGAGAGAGAGAGAGAGAAAGAGTTGAGGTTGAGGATGGACATGGATTTGCATCTTTCTTTTTCGATCCTTTTTCATCTGTGTACATAAATTTTGGTGTCGATTACGGGCGACTTGCCCCGTATTCTTTTTGCGGCCATTTTCGTTTTTGCTCGATTGGGTTTTTCTTCGGATGTTTTCCTTTCTGCTTTCCTTCTTGAAATTTTCCTGTTGCGAATGATGCATGGATGAATTGCGCACACCTTGCATCTCGTTTTGATTGTCATCTCGTACTCATAGGACTGAGTGGGAATGGATATTGCATGTTGGCATGATTAGTTGACGCATCGAGTTGTCGCATTTCCACTGATAGTTGGCGCGCGCAATCCGACGGCTCGTATGTGCCCGTGTAAGGGTGGCCCAAACGGGACACGGCTTACACGTATACATACCGCCCGGACTCGCCGGTCGAACTCTGACTGGTACGCATAGTAACCCCGAGACGAGGGTTGATGTCAACGGGGGCGGAGATACCCGTTGCGTCTCTCGTACGCGCTTACGAGCGGTGGCTTTCCCTTGCCCGAAATTATCCCCGAACCGAGCCGCGCGATGATAGGATGACAGGCTCCCAGAGCTCTGATTCATCGTATGACCCAGACTACTTCACCCCGTGGGTCGAAGATCTTATTAGGCGAAGGCCCCGGGAATTCCCCTGTCTAACGCAAAACCGATTGTGTCCCAGGGAATTCGATTGCGCGGTCCACAGCGACCCCCGGTGCCCCGATATCCCCACAACGTACAACTCGCACTGTTTCATATGCCCCGGTTTTGTTGTCATCACCACTAACTTCCCTCCCTTCCGCCTTCTACTCCCGTACCATCAACTCACGGTGGTTCCCTGGAATTCCATCGCCGATTACTGGCCCCGCACACCGTGTGAAAACTGCAGGCGGCGCAATCATTTTTGAAGCCCCCAGGACGGGTCGGCAAGATACAACCCGCACCGACAGCCGCCACGTGGAACACTCAGAGGGCCCGGACCACAAGGGCCGTCTCGCCGACCTCCCCCGACCCGACCACAACACCAGGGACGAAAGGCCGCGCAGGATCAACGCGTGAACCCCCGCCCGTAAATTCCCCATTGTTGTATTGCATCTACGTCCCTGAGCTTTGCCACAGGAGATTCCATCAAGGACCCTTTCTCAGTCCAACCAACCATGCTAATGCGATTGAGAAGATGATCTGGTCGAGGTTGTTAGGTACATTATGTGCATACCGGATTACCTTCCTGAGTTGATTTGCTGATTTCCAGTCCTTCTTTGTGGAGTCCCATAAATCCTTAATTCTCAAGATCCCATGTTTAGTCCAGGTACTCCATGGGGTTCTAGGGCTTTGACATAGGGGTTTGGATTGTCTCCTGTTGGGAGGGGGGAGGGCACAGAGGGGTTGCAAGGTGCGATATCTGATTGTGAGTGTGTGGGGCATGGGTATCTGTGTGAGTGTCCATCGAGCATTTGCCGTCCGGGGCGTTGAAAATATGGGATCGTCTCCTGTTGGTGGGAAGGAGTCCTCATGGTGTCTAAACTCAAGTGAAGTAAGCAGCTGGGACATTATTATAGTAGTATTTGTGATAATGTTCGATCATGGGGTCTGACTCCAATGGCACATGCACAACATTCAAAACGTGTATCGCCTGGTTGTGATCCAGACACTTCCATACTGACAAAACATTTCGGATGGATGGATGGATGGATGGATGGATGGATGGATGGATGGATGGATGCTTTCAGACTGACAAAACATTTTGATTTTTTATTGGGACAGCGACCAGAACCAGGTGCATTTGGAATTTCGCTTTGCGGAGCGAGGTCCATGGTCCCATTTGAGTAATGCATAGTGCACCTGAATTGAGGAAGGGGGTTTGTCATTCATGGCAGCAGGTTTGCCGTTAGTGGCAGCCGGTTTGTGGTTAGTGTGCTTGCTCTTGTATTTGTCTCCTGAGCCTGAGCAACAAAATGAATAACTTGTTGACACCAACTTGGCAAACTCAGCGGGTACACCAATTAACTGCTGAAATACAGACCTGAGCTCGAATCGAGATGATAGAACTCGATGACGAAAATAAAATGATAATTCTGAATTACCTGAGGCTGGCCAATTATTGATCATATCTCAAGGACGTTGCTCTTTTTCGAAGTTTTCCCTTTTTGGAATTGTTGACTGCAAAAGTTTGTGGCTTGTGCGTGGTCCTGATGGCAATTACCTTGCTGTTGTAGGAGGTTTGTCGTTTGCGCTTGATCTGCTGTTAAGTTTTAACCCTCAAGGGCCGGAAAAGACTACAATCCCGCAGCTGCTCCGCTCTGTCACCTACCTGTCACTTCGATGGGAAGTCCGCTGCGGCATTTTACTCTGCAGCATCGGTTGTTAATCCCTGTCTTCTTCTCTCCCCGTTCAGCATCGCCTTATAGAGTTCAGCGAATCGACGAATGAACGTTGTGTTCACCATCCATTCATCCTTTGGAGCTGCGATGTGGGATCATTATCTCCTCCTTTTCTATGAGTATTACCACGATGGATTCGCCTCCGTTTGAACGGCTGCCTGACGGGTTGGTGTTGAAGATCCTAAGCGAGGTTGGAGGGCGCGACGCCCTGGAATTGCTGAGAATGAGTGTGCTTTCGAAAAGATTTGCGTCACTCGTCCTCGATGTGTCGGCATTGGAGTTTCCGTACAGAATGTGGTTCAACGATGCGGTCGACGATGTGAAGGCTCAATGGGTTGGCAATGTGGTACAGCGCTCAAAGATCTTGGAGTCACTCTCTGTCACAAACTTCCCAATTGAGAAATTCTCTGGCAATACGAGGCAACATCTATGGATAAGTCTACTTCATCCAACTTTGAAAATCCTCTGTCTTGAAGGATTTGGGGGCGACGAGGGTGAGTTCAGGGAGATTTTCTATAGGTGCAGGCAATTGCTGAGTTTGCAGGTGGACCACTACTATGATGGATCCCAGGATCATTGTCGCATGTCATTTGCCCTGCGGGTCTCTTCTGTTTCTCTGAGACGGCTAACCTTGTCATGCTTCAAGCTGTGCCTATGCGATCATGCAGAAACATACCTTGAAATGTGCAGTCGCCTCTCCTCCCTTACTCACCTTTCTCTCATATCTGTTGAAGGTCATTGCCCCAACTGCAGGTTGACCACATATGGCGCCACCCTATGGTGCTTCTTGCTTTCTTTCAAAACTCTGCACAGTCTGCGCTTAGAGACCGGCAATGGACTCAGCGTCTTTGCACACGGATGGGAGGTTGAGAAGCTCCACCCATGGTGGTTGCCACCTGTTGTGAATGATCCGCAAGGAGGACAAAAGGGCCAAAGAGAGGACGTTGTGGGAGGAACTTCAAGTGAGAAAGGGAGCAACTCCCATACACGCCAAGGAACTCCGTTGTCACTAGAAACACTTATTTTGGATGAGTCGTGCCCTCTTCGGGCTGAGGGCATGCAGATGGCGGCCTTTTCGGACTTGTTCCTGAATCTGACAACACTTTCTGCTTGTCTTCCAATGCCTGCATCTTTCCACATTCTTGCCAAAGTACTGCACCGACTTCTGCATGCATGTCCTCGATTGGTGACTCTACGTCTCCAGGTGCGGAGACCATCTCAAATACCAAAGTCTTTCGTTGATTGGGTTGGTGTGAGAAGGTTTTTGGGAGGGGGAAATGGTGCTGCCAAGGAGGTTGAGGAAGAGGTCGAGGAGGAGGAGGAGGGGGAGGGGGCAAAGGAGGTGTTGACAGAGGAATTGGGGGAGCAAGAGAAGGAACTGGAAGAGATGTGGGAGAAGGGAAGAGCAGCAGAATATGCAAAAAGAGAAGAGTTGCAAGGAGATTTGAAGGGGAAGGAAGTCCTGCAGGCAATGTCTTTGGACAAGCGTGATCGAGGAAGAATTCGACCATTGCCTATGGGGAAGGAATTGCACCCCCTTCGTTGTCTGATGGTAAAAGTAGATAAGGACATTGAATTTGAGCAAGAAGAGCTCGATGCCCTTATCAAAGTTGTTCCTTCCCTGCACACTCTGAAAATCGACAGCGGGAAGAGGCACTTCACGTCCATTTCCTGCCCCTTACTGCAGTGCCTTGCGGTTAACGATTGGCAAGAAGATGTTTTTTTCCCTCTCACGATTATTTGTCCCAATTTGACTAACCTTATGCTAAACACCTCTGCGCAGGGCGCATACATGATTCCACTCTTGCAGGTCCACTGCCCGAAGTTGAAGGTACTTCACCTCTTGCCTGGTTGGTGTGTGCCGTCTGGAGACGTTTCTCGGTGTCATTACCATGCAAAGTGCTCTTGGACATACCATAATTTGTTTGCTTCAGTACCATTGGACAATCTTGTGTCGCTTCGCCTACGGGATTGTGTAGTCTTTGAGGGGGCCCTCTGCCAAATTCTGGCACACCACTTGCACAGTCTTGAAGTGTTATATTTGGATATCGACGAGATTTATCCTACCGACTCACCGCTCTCTATGGAAGAGGTACATCTTATCCGAGAAGGAAATGAATGCAGCGATCAAGATGGACCCTCAACCAACAGGTACAAAATCAGGGAATGTGTTTCTGACCACTGTTTCTACAACACCGATCACATTGCAACCGGGCATAAGCCTCCTGCTCCTGCTGCTCCTCCTCGCTCTTCGACTGTGTCATCTTTCTCCTCTGAGTCAACCTCCCTCGCCTCAGAGTCTGAGGCCATCATCACCGATCCCACTTCCAGTAGGAGTATTACAGCTCCCCATGCTGCTTCCTCAGCTCCTGCCGCCATCACCAAACTTTTGCAGGACCGGTCTGCACGTTTTGCGAAGCCTTTGGGGCTTCAAAAACTAAAGTCACTCACGCTACGCTCGGGGCTCGTGCGTTTGCTTGCAAAACATCTGGAGAGAGGAGTGCCCACATCTACCTCATGTCCCTCCAAGATAGCAGAATCTCACATTGAGGGTGCAGTGAATGATGTCCTATGGACAAACATCTTTTACAGTTGCCCTAATTTGGACAGGATCGATTTCAACCTGGATCCGCACGATATGAACTGTAAAGGATGTGAGACCGGAAACTGCATACTGAGTGAGGAGGAGCTGAGAAAGGAGGAAGAGGAGTGGGCTAGGGAATTAGCTGGAGTTGCCAGTGCCTTTTTGAAATCCAGCACCAATTTGAGGAGAGTTGAGCTGGAGATTTTTGAGAGTGGTGGCGCTGTAGATTACCACCGTATGTTCAACGAGCTAAAGACCATTTTCCCTTTTGTCCACATCCAGGTATCAGTCAGCATGAGGACAGCCAAAGGTGAGGGTGGCAGCTTGGACTCTGACACACCCGAATCGAGTGGAAGCGAGGAGTAAGAAGAAGTTATACAGGAGGAGGGTAGCAGGTTCATGTCTTCCTTTCTCACCATAATTCCACATTCTCCTTTAGAATTAGCCTTTAAACTTTCAGAGATTGGATTGCGATCCACTCAGGGATGGAGGGGAATTCTCGGTAGGTGTGTCGTGGGGACTGGGTTGGTCATCACAGGCTGTATTTAGTCCGTTGACACTTAATACATTCTCGCTCTTGCCAGCTCTGCTGTTCATCAAGAGGATGAGTGGTCTATGTGACATGTGTATGAATGGAATGATGGTTAAATGGAATCGGATGCATGGGTGACTGTGCTCATGGTGGTGCATTAACTGTTTTTTTAGACGTTTTTTATTTTCTGATGTGATCTTTGGATGTCATTGAGGTAGCAGCAGGTCTTTGAATACTTGAAGTAGAATTGTTCATCGACCTTAAGTTAGATATGAAGGTATCTATGATGATGTTACGTGCAAGCAGAGTAGCACCACTTCTTTGCCTAATTGCAGTAAAATGCATCATCGAACTTAGATATGAGGGTGTTTGTGATGGTGCATCCAAGCAGAGCGTCAGCGAGATCCATCCAGTCCACGGTGGAACCGAGCTGTTTCGGTGCAATCCATTGATGGTGTGGCAGATGTCACTGTGCTCTGGTTCGTCGCTTGCTCACGTGGTAAATGGGCTGGCATGGCAAATGGGGTCTTGCAATCCGTCACAATGACAAGGAAACTGGTGACTGTGAGTCACGGGGCGAGTGTGTATCCAAGGCATGCACACATGTCCACAACCATCAGTGATTCAGTGGTGGTCATGAGAAATTTGGCCGGCCAGTGTCTGTTGAGAAACAAGATCAACATGAGGTGGGGAGAATGACAAATCGGTGGTTTACGAGATTGCCTGCATGATCGCTGCAATAAAACATCTATAGGTATGTCTATATGTGTATAAGTTTGGGGGGGGGGGGGGGGGGGGGGGGGGGGGAGAGAGAGAGAGAGAGAGAGAGAGAGAGAGAGAGAGAGAGAGAGAGAGAGAGAGAGAGAGGATCCTGCAGCTGCAGTTCATGACTTGGGCACTGAGTGAGTATGCTGCATGCACGCCGTGAGCAATCTGTCAAGAAAGTTTTGTAGTTGCCATTTGTACTGGATGTTTCCTTTTTGATTTTTTCTGGAGTGTTTCTTGTCCAGTTTCTGCTCGTTTCAGAAACAGAACTGTTTTATCGCGGAATCCGACCTGCTCTAAATGTAGGATTGTCTATAAGTTGTGTCGGCTCTGGCTTCATAAGTCTCATGGTCTTGTGATATTGCTGACATTTGTCTGACTGCCAAATTGAGTTTGTCCATCTGCCCCTCAGTCCATTAGTTTGTTTGTCCATCTGTCTCTCTAGCAGTTTGTTTGTCCATCATTCCATCTTCCCAATTGTCCACTTGCCCATCTGCCCATCACTTGCTTTTGTTTTGTTGTCCATTTGTCCATATGTTGGTCTATTAGTTTGTTCTTTGTCCCTCTCTCCATCAGTCCATCTTCCCATTTCTCAATCCATCTCTCAACCCATTTGTTTCCTTGCCCATCTGTCCATCTCTCTGTCTACTAGTTTGTTTGTTCACCGGTCCGTCTGTCTGTCGTTAGTTTGTTTGTCCATCACTCCCTCTGCCCATCTGTCCATCTGTCCATCTGACCATCTGTCCCTCAGTTCATCAACCCCTCTGACTGTTTGTCCATCTGCCCCTCAGTCCATTTCCTTGTTTGAAAAATGTTTCCTCAAAATCACAGAGACAGTACATCAGGTGTGAAAGGCAGATTCTAACATAGGAAAGTAGAAATGCATATGAGAATAATGAAATGCATGCGGGGGTAAGAAGATTATAATTGCAAAAAAGGTGATAAGGCAAAACCGCAAAAAACAAAGGATCGAGCTTTGCATGCTTATCACACGCTCCCCACCAATAGATGGAGCCTCCCCCTAAGGTGCTAGTGTTGACTGATTGAATCAGCAACACTAGCACTGGCGGGATGAGTGTTAAAAAAAAAAAAAAAAAAAAAAAAAAAAAAAAAAANAAAAAAAAAAAAAAAAGAGAAATCTACCCTACCCTCGGTAGGTTAGTGTTCTCAATGCAAAATGGTCTCCAGGCCAAACCAAAAGGGCCAAAGCATACTACAAAACGGATTTCACGTCAAAGAAAAAATCTACAAAATGACCAAATCTAATAGGTTATTCTCCTGTGTTTAGGTACCGTTAGATTCGCAATACATCAACGGCAGAGCTCCATCCCACCATGTCAGACGTGATAGAAAGCTCAGCGTTGAGAAAACTCAACGCTGTTCGTTTTTTTTCTTTTCTTTGTTTTCCTTCGTTTTTTTTTTTCCCCGGAATTTCTTTGTCTTTTGCGTTCTTTATATGCTCCAATACTCTTGACGAGTGCAGAACAAGAGTGAATCTTCCCCTAGAACATGGTAAGCTACACCGCCATGATTTTTGTCTTTTGTACCTTACTGCAGTCCTCACAACTGGCACATGCACATAAGACAAAAAAATGGCGGTGCATATTTCCATGTTTTATGGGAAGATTCATTCTCATTTTGCACATTTGGTGAGTAGACGAGCGCGGCCCACCCCAAAACAAAACAACCCCCCCCAAAAAAACACACACCTCAATCTCATTCTGCACATTTGGTTTTCTGGCGAGTAGACAAGCGCGCCCCCCCCCAAACAAAACAACCCCCAAAAAACACCCGCCCACCTCAAAAACGAAGGCCGGCCAACCTAAAAAAGGAAAGGTCGGGCGATGGCCAGCGCCACCAAAGAACGACCTATGCTACCTACTGTTGGTCGCCCGCGCTCCAACCTCTGCGCCGACCGTTTGACCTACTGGTCTGTGCCCTGCTCCCGACCACGCACCTTGCCAACGCCTGATAAACCCCGTTTAACTTACAGGTCATCGACGTTTCCTCAAAAAGACAGCCCCGCTACACGACAAAGTGCAACATGGTAAGACGCAGCCTTTGGCTGTGAACACACACGCACACAAAAAAAAACAAAAAAAAGACAAAACGTTCTATTGGGGGAAACACGGCAGCTAAGACGACATCCCAAGCACTAGCACCACAGTTGGCTTTCACCGTGTTCCAGGTATACGCCCAGACTTTGGAGTACTTATGTCAACTTGCTAGCACACTTGGCGCCTTGGAGGAGGGGAGGGGGAGAGAGAGAGGAGGCGGTTCACCACGTGTGGTTTAACCGGGTCGGCATGTGGAGTGCTGAAAGGAAAAGAAAAGGGAAAACAAGGTGCATCTTTTGGGGCACTGTTGTCACGCATACCGAGTTTGCACTCCAGTGCAAGTTTTCTATAGGGAAAAAAAAAAAAAACCAAAAAGATGAATATGGAAAAAAAAAAAAGGTTCATTTTATTTATCGTGCTCGGGTGTTGCATACCGTAAAGGTGCACGACAGAACAAGAACCGACCTCTCATACAAAGTATAAGATAGCGTAGTGGAAGACTGAGATACCAATGATCCGAACAATCAATGTTGCAATGCAGTCTCAACATACATCATCATCGTACAATGGTGTGAAGGGTCTGGCGCTCACACAGAAGAATGCGCCAGGCCCATACATACACAGACGAGGAGGGAGAAACAGACGAAGAAGAAGAAGATGGGAGATGTCGTCAACACCAAGTCTGCGATACAAGTCCCAAATAGTCCTCATCGAATGTCTGAATCTCAAAGTCGAGTCTGAACCAATGTCGTCAAGTCTCAAGTCACAACTCTTTCTCGTAGTCCATAGGTAAGTGAGAAGTCAGACAGTTGGAGGGTGAGGAAGAGATGGTGGACTTAGAAGAGGAAGAAGAAGAGCTCTCTCTCTCTCTCTGTATCCACTACTAACCTGTGAAGATGGCGTCTTGATGCAGGTACCATGAAGCTGGAGTTGGAGCGAGGCGCCACAGGTAAGTATCACTGGCCTCCGCCAGTCTCTCTCCTCTACCACTACCACTACTAGCTATGGGCGCCCAGCGCCGAAGACTGCTAAGAGCGCCCTGCGCTGAAGACTACTACTACTGCCTAGCGCTGAAGACTACTGCAGCGCTCCTCCTGAGTGCTGCGGATGAATCCTGAAGACTACTCGTGCCTACTGACAACTACCTACCCGTGAAGTGCATGGGAACCTCCTATGTACTACACGGGTCTGCCTCCTGACTGCAGGCGAGCAGTCCAGGAGGCTGCTCTTGCCAATGCCGAAGGGAGGCAGGGGCTGCAGTTGCAGCTCCTGGTCGAGCTGGCGTGGGGAACAGGCTATTTCTGGCCTGTTCCCGAAACCCTGCTTTCGTGCCTGAGTCTTAGGGTCGGTAGAAACGATGAGGGCCTGAAAATGGCCCTCCGTTTCAGGCTGAAAAGCCTCTAGGCCTGAAAGGCCCAGAAATAGGCTGAAAATGGAATAGGGCCTGCAAGCCCTCGTTTTTCAGTTTCAGGCTGAAACGACCGGGGCCTGTAAGCCCTATTTTCTAGGCTTTTAGGCTGAAGGTGCCGAACGGGCCCTGCAGGGCCCGTGTGGCTACGCAGTATGCCACACCCCCCCCTCCTTGAAAGACCGAGCTTTACCTGCGAGGGCGAAGCTGTCTGTCTGAGGGAGGGACCACAGTCCGGGTGGGAGGGGCTGGTCAGGAAGCCTCCTAAGCTAACCGCTGTCTCTCATAATGTGTGTAGATTAGCGGTGCGGATGCTTTCAAGTCTGCTCCTGAAATCCACCGAGTGTCGTAGCGATCGCAGGCTTTGAATGTAACCTTGTACTGTCGCGGCTTGCTGCCGTACTTGCGATCTGTGATGACGCGGTCAACCTCCTGATGACCATCCATAGAAGGAGGGTCCTGCGATCGTCGGCCCGGAAAGTCGCCGCTCTTAGCTGGCGTGTATGTTGCCAGCTTCGAGGCATGAAAAACTGGATGGACCGGCAGATGTGGTGGGATGTTGATCACAAATGAAGGGCCATCGGGCTCATCGCCCGCGGCTGATGTGACAGGCCATGGTCCAAACCACTTGGGAAGAAGTTTGCGTGAGACATCCTGTTCCAATGCAAACTCTTCCGCGGAAACCCAGACCAGGTCACTGGCACGGATGGGACATGGTATGCGATGCCGGTTAGCTTGCTGCTGCATGCGGACTTGAACCTTTTGCATGTTCGCTCGGGCTTGAGTCAGCAGTTCCCTGTACTTCCGGACGGAAGCGGGGGAGCAAGCGGCGTCAATGTCGGCTGGTCGTGGAAGAAGAAGATCGGCGAAGATGTGGCCTTTTCGTCCACCGTGGTGCAACTCGAATGGAGTCACGCCGATCGCCGGGTGTACCTAAGTGTTGTAGGCGAACTCGATGTCGGGGAGGCGGTCAACCCAATCTTTCTGATCCGGACGGATGAGTGTACGAAGCATCATCTGAGCGGTTTGATGTGCCCGCTCCGTTTGCCCGTCCGTCTGTGGATGCCGAGCCGAACTTGGTTTCATCTTCGTGTCGGACTCCTGCATGAGAGCAGTCCAAAATGCTGACATGAAGCGAGTGTCGAGGTCGCTGACTATGTCTTCCGGTACACTGTGGCCGCAGATCCAGCCGGTGTGCAAGAGGCGTGCCAGCTCAGGAGCCGTGGAGTAGTACTTGCAAGGGAGAAAAAGCGCGTGCTTACTCAAGCGGTCCACGACCGTGAGGATGCCGTCGTGTCCGAGGCGGTCGCGGGGGAATGGTCCAGTGACGTCCATGGCAATGGAGAGACCGGGTTCCTGCGGGATCGGCATCGGGCGCAGCTCGCCGTAGGGGTTGCGGTTGCGGGGTTTGCTTCGTCGGCAAACTTCGCAAGACTCGCAATACCTCGTGACATCAGAAATGAGGTCAGGCCACCGGAATCGCTGTCGAAGTCGTGCAATCGTGCGGTTGAGTCCGAAATGGCCAGCGAGTCGCGAATCATGGTACTCGCCGAGAAGGCGAGTCCGAAGACGACGGTCGCGTGGGACACATAGTAAGTCCTTGCCCCGCGAGTGGAGGAGCAAATACCCGTCGACGATGCGATAATGGATGGCCGGCGGGTGATCCGAAGAAAGCTGTGCATATAGCGTGGCAAAATCTGGATCGGACTCATAAGCCCTGATGAAGTGTCGCTGGAGCTCCTCGTCGAATGCGAAGGCATGATGTGTCATAGCGCAAAAATCCGGTCTACGCGAGAGTGCATCTACTGCGCGATTGGAGAGGCCGGCGAGATGTTTCGGTGTGAAGTCGAATTGGTCGATGAAGTACATCCATTGTCCGATCGTGCTGCTCACCGTATCCTGCGTCTTGTAGCAAGTCAAAGGGTTGTTGTCTGTAACCCATGTGAACCTACGACGCCTAAGGAGGAAGTGCCGCCATCGCTTGAGAGCCATCACGAACGCGAGCAGCTCCTTCTTTCTTGCATCATCAATCGAATTGATGGGAGGCACTTTGTGGCTGAAATACTCCACAGGGTGCCAATCGTCGCCGTCTTGCTGTTCCAAGACTGCCCCAATGCCGTAGCCGGAAGCGTCAGTAGTCACTCTCGTCGGCAGGGTGGGGTCATAGCTGCGCGAACTCGCATTTGTTGCGGTTGGCTTTGTACTTGGCTTGTCGTAGCCGCTCCAAAACGGTGCGCAGGTGTTTCACATGCTCGTACACTAGAATGTCGTCGAGGTAGATAAGTACGAATCAAACTAGCATGTGTCGGAACTCCGTTGTCATAGCCGCTTGGAAAGTGGCTGGGGCATTCGTAAGGCCAAATGGCATAACCAGCCATTCGAAATGCCCATATCGCGTCTTAAACGCGGTCTTGTAGCGGTCCTCCTGTCGGATCTCGATTTGGTGATAACCTGACTTGAGGTCGAGCTTGGAGAAGAACTTGGCGCCGCCCAATCTTTCGAGAAGATCGTCGATGCGTGGGAGAGGGCCGGCGTTCTTGACCGTTTGCGCGTTGAGCTTACGATAATCGATGCACAACCGCAGGTCCTTGTTCTTCTTCCGGACGAAGAGAACAGGGGCACCGTATGACGATGAGCTAGGCCGAATCCAGCCTTTCTCCAGAAGATCGTCGAGTTGTGCCCGTAGCACATTTAACTCTTCCTCGCTCATTCGGTAGACGCAACCGCGTGGAGGTACGGCCCCATCCTCGAGGATGACCTCGTGGCGGAGGGGCCGATCCGGTACTCCGTGCGGGCTCTCAAATACGTCGCCGTAGGCGTCGAGAAGCTCGGTGATGCGTGGATCCGAAAGTGAGTCCGTCGATGAAGCGTCATGKGGCGGGAGGGCGTGGAGAAAACACACCCCCATCTCCTCGATGTCGTCTCTGATGATGGAAGCTCGCATGCTTGCGGCGGATACCACGTGGCAGCTGATCGAAGGACGAGGAAGAGGCACTGTGCATGAGACTAGTATTCCGTTCCGATCACGAACGTGCACGGTGCGGTTATAGAAGTTCACCGGGTGATCCTCACTTCGCAGCCATGACATGCCCAAGATCATGTCGAATTTGGTGTCCAGGATGTCAAAGGACACCGCCTCACTTGCGTAAGGGGCAAAGTACACTGGGACGCCATCAATGCACCGGTCGATTGACTTGTGCGTGTGACCGTCCGCCAATGTGACTTGGGTGGGATGGGACTTCCTCCTGACGCGTGGGCCAGGGCCGGCGCGTACCAGGAAGTCCTAACTGATGTAGTTGCGAGATGCTCCGCAATCGATCAAAGCGCTGCAGGTCGCCTCTCCGATCTGAATGCGTACATATAGCAATGGTGCGTCGATGTCGTCGTACCGTTGCGTCTTGAACTCGCGGTCGATCTTCGCGATGAAAGCGTGAAGGTCGACAACCTCTACTCCGACGTCCATCAACGGAGCTGGTACTGCAGTGTGCAAGTAATCCCGCAATTGTCCCATGAGCACGTTGCAATGCGGTTTCGGCAATCGTCCGGTCGAGGGAACGGGCATCCAATGGAAGTCCGTGAACGTCAATGGGTCGAGCTCTTCAAGTCTTGACCATGACGTCGAATCCCCGGCGATAGATGGCAGCAAAGCTGCCGAATCGGTTGCTGATGGTGATGAAACCGTGCATGCGGTTGATTGTTGCACATGGAGCGGGTGGTCCAGCGGTGGAACCAAGTGGACAGCATAGTCCTCGTAAGTGTACCGAGAACTTGCGACATTCGCATCCTCCCTAGATGTGCAGGAGGCCGCTAGCAAGGCGGCCGAATCTGGCGGAGTGGTAGGTGAAGTCGCCTCACCTCCCGCGATACTCAGTTTCCCGAGTTGAGACGAGGCCGCACATCCTCCTTGCCCTGATCCTGGCAGAGGGAGGTCTTGTGCTTGGTGCTGTTGCACCAGTAGCAGCAACCGTAGCGGCCGCGGTACTTGTACTCGGCCTCGGTCAAGTTGAACTTGACCCATGGTTTTGGCTGTCCATTTCCGGCCTGCGATGCTGGTTTCGCCTTCCCATTATTCCGGGACTTGTTGTTGCTTCGCGGCTGGACAGCAGCCACCTGATCTCCGTCACGTGATGCTGGAGTGGCTGCTGGGTCTTCTCCACTGTCCAATTGGACTGCAGCAAAGTGCTGCTGTCGAGGACCAGTCTTTACCTTCTCCACATAGGTCGACTGCCATGTTGACTTCTCGTGTGCAGCTGCCCTGTTGGTCTTGATGATCTCCCTCGCTTTGTCAATGATCTCAGCGAAGGTGGTGTACTGCTCGCGATCACCAAGAGCCTGGCTCAGTGCAGCACATGACCTGTTGTAGAACTTAGGTCGTAGATACGTGAACGGCAAGTCCAGATCGGGTACCGCCGCAATCTTCTGCCATTCCGTGAGCCAGTCACGTGTTGCCATGTTGCCCTGAGACATGGTGAAGAGACGGTTGATGGCGAGTGCTGGTGCGTCATCGACGATGAACCGCTTCTTCCACAGCCGTGTCAACTCTTCCCATGTGATCTTTTCTCTGAGATCTGCGACGTCGACGCCGTGGCTGCCAGGTGGGTCAACCAGGTCTGGCATGCGCCCTTTGAGTTAAGAAACAAGGCGCCGATGTACGCATGTTTGGCGACAGGCAGAATCCGCAGTTGCGTCGTGAACGCTTCCCACCAGAGGACCGGATCCTGATGTGTGTAGTAGTCAAACTTCTCCAGTTGGAAAGTTGACATCTTGTACAACTTCGGATTTCCATCTGAGTTCGTCGACTGCAGTTGCTGGACCTCGGTCTTCAATGTGTCCAGCTGGCTGCTGATGGTGGTTGGCGCAGCGAAGGTGCTGATGTCGTCGAGCATTGCCACCACGTGGTCAACGCGTTGCTCCAGTTGGCGGTTGGAGGGTGCACTGCTGGACTCACCATCATCTGGTCTTGGTACAACTTGTTCCAAGTCCAGCATACGGGAATTGAGTGCCCGTGTTGCATCCTCGTGGCTCTGCACTGTCTGGCGAAGTTTTGCCAACTCTTGGTGCTGTTGTCTCAGATCCTGGTTTTGTCTCTCTAACTCGGACCGTTGGTAGTTGCAAGCATACAACAACCGTGTCACGAGTTTGGAAAGGAACTCCTTATGCTGCTCTTCCGGTGTCGCGTCGTCGCCGTTGGGTTGAAAATGCCAGAACTTGAGTCTCTCGGTGCTGGCTGTTTCATGCCGCTGCAGCAGATCCTAAGCTTCCTTGCGGCGAGCCTCGGAATCTGCATCAGCTTTGGCTTGAAGGCTCTGCCTCTCGGTTGCAGCTGCCGCTTCAAAACGCCGTTTCGAAAATGCCATACCCCCTCGGGTCGAGTTGGTGCGTCGATGGGTTGGTGGGTCGGTGTTCGGGGTGGGTTGGTGGGTCGGTGGGTCGCTGGTTTGGCGGGTCGGTGGCCGGGGTGGGTTGG